CATTCTACATCTCGAGAGAGTACCTTATAGAAGCTATTAGTTGTAAAGATAAGTGATTTATAAAGCATGCTATAGAACTATGCCGTAGCATGCTGTCTACTTTTAGATCGGTTTAACATCTTAACGAATCCCTACACCCCAAGCTCTTTTCTAAAACTTGTTCACAGCAGTAGTGTTTAATCAACTCACCACAAATATTTCCTCGAATTCACCATCTGAAATCTTATCTTTATTTTTACTATTAAAACGAACTTTTATTCCTTTTTCCCGTGGACGATACTCGGTATTTTTACCACTYTATTACTTGTWAAAGAMGATARTGGGTTGATAAGTGTATACTTGCACTAGTCTCCATTTGTTAGCAGTCTGAGAGATTTATTCTATATAAATCCCGTAACAACAAGGATGTGATATAGTGTGTCCATGCATCATCATGTGTGTAAAATAAAAGTATCTCGTTATAATTGAGGATGCCTAAGAAACGAAGTTGTAACCTTAAGGGGCTGTTTGGTTGGTTTTTCATTAAGTCTTGTATGGATAAAACTATATGTGTGGATTAATTTGTCTGTACACGTTGGGAAGGTTTTCATAAGTGGATGGGGCGTGTTTCTTAATTGGGAGGGGCAGGTTTGAAAAAAACTTGGCTTTCTGCATAAAGCTCTCCCTGGAAGCTTACTGAATAAGCCACATTATATATCATCAAGCCACAACCAAATAGTCATATATAGCTGACCGAATAAGTTGTGAGTCTCATTAAGCTCATTAAGGGGCTAAAAAACAGGCCCTAAGCAACCAATTGTAAGCAAAAAAAAGAAGCAAGAGAACAGTAGAGTGACTAACTGGGATTTCATACAGTTAAATTCCCAAAGGCACTTCGGAACCGCTGCAAAAGGAGTTTGATTTCATTTTCTTCGCCACCGTAAAACGCAATTGACTCGGCATTTTCTCGAACACGTACAAGCCCATAACGGAAATCTGCTTCCATTTTCTCTTGCATGAAATTTAGGTTGATCAGCCCCTAAAATAGCATTCAATGATACCTGAAGTTAGGACAGAAAATGGCATCCAATAAGGTTGCAACCTCAATTTCCAAAGCTGGAAATCTTACCTTCCCAAGGAAAATGCTGATGGCTGTTCCACCGATTGAATATACTAAAAGAACAACAAAAAGAGGAGGATATATGCCAAACAGTATGTTGCTAAACGATATCAAGTCTACCATGGCATTGAAGAGTGTTAAAGAGAATGAAAGTGATGTTCCAGTGAAAGAACTTAGATCATCAACGATTCGTTGATCCGGATTATCAATGATTGACTGGGACTGTATTTGGTAAAATGTCTGATTCTTGAGATACCGCTCCATGTAATATTGTGTCATCCAAGATCTCCACCTTAAAGCCAGAGTTTCTCTTGCATAATCTCTAAACACAAAAATCTGCAAAAACCACAGCATGAGTAGGAACAAGATAGCTAAAAGGTTACTGTACAAGCAGTGGTCATATCAAGATAATTTGTCAAAGAAGAGATGCAGCAATTCCACCAAGATTTACAATCTAGGGCTGTAAATGAAACCGAATGTTCAACAAACCGTTTGTGAAGCGTTCCGTGGGAAGTTCATTTATTTAATAAACGAACGAGCATGAACACATCTTTTTGTCCATCTAGTTAAATGAAAGAACATGAACAATCCTTGTCCGTTCATTTACGTTCTTTCATTTATGTTCGTTTACCTTCATTTATGTTCGTTTATATATACATATACATAAATATATTTATACATTATGACATTAATATGTAAATAAAATAACTAAATTAAGTTGTTTAGAAATCCTTTTTATTCCCCTAAGCCCTAAATTTACTAGTTTTAAATTTTGTTGTGTTATCTTACAGGAATGAAATGATGAGTAATGTTGGTTGTTTTGTGTTCATTTTTGTCTGTTGTCTATGTTCATTTATGTTTAATTAAGTTTGTTCGTATTTGTTCGTTTAGCATCTTAACCAATCAACAAGAACAAATACATTTTCTTAACAAAAGAGCACAAACAAACACATTTTCTTAGCGAACGAATATAAACACAAAAAAATTCATTCGTTTAGCATTTAAATGAACAAGCACTAACAAAGACATTTTCTTAACAAACGAACAAGATACAATTATTTTTATCATTTTTCATTCGTTTACCATTCATTTGTTAAGTTAAATTAAACAATGAGCATGAACACAAAAGGTTTTTTTCGTTTACTTGTGTTCGTTCGTTTGTTCAGTTAAGTTAAACGAGCGAACATGAATAAGTCTCCATTCATGTTCATTTACAGCCCTATTTACATCACATACAAAGAGCTATAAACACCGTATTGGGACAACAGTGGAAAAGAATTCAAGAAGACAGGTGAGCAATACCTAAAAGAGTGCAGCAATGTGCTCACCGGAATTCCACCAGCAAAAGCAGCAAGGTAGTACGTTAGTTGCGTGGTAAATTGTTCTTGGTCTTTGTCTGACATATTTATGGAGGTGGCCGATCAAATACTCAAACATAGAATCATCAAGGATCAAGTTCAAGGAAAACCTTAAAAAATGAAAAACTGAGGAAGACCGTATAACCGCTCATTAGAACGGTATGCACATATACAAGCAATTTGTCCGGTATGCATATGCACGTGCATAAAACATTCGGTGCTCCTCACTTTTTTTGGGGGGTTTTCCTGAACCTCCCCCTCATCAACAAAACAAAAAAATGGGCTAGTGCCTATGTGTGTGTGAAATCCTTACTAGCAAGGGCATTATAGAAGTCGCGACCGAGAAAGTTGAAACCCACACTGATGCCGGTGGTTCCTAAAGTTAGGGCAAACACAGCCGCTAGTTGTATTCTAGCTTGAACTTTATCATCGGAATACCAATAAGGAGCAGCAACTTTATAGAATCTCCTGAAAAGCGTAGGCAGATCAGGTCCTTTTCTTGGCACATTCTGACAAAAATCAACAACAAACAACTGTCAGATTCAAATCACTAAACAAAGAACTGTATACAAAATTCATAAATTCACAAAAGCGTATAAAACTGTTACCTCATCTGTTTTGGTCGATTGTGGTGGAGGTGGCGGTGGTGGTGGAGTAACCGATGGATTGGCCGGAGACGTTGTTGGAGACGACGAATGAGGTACGGTGGTCTTCCTCCTCCGTTTCATATCGTGAAGCTTTAGCGTGGAAACAGATGATAGAACAAAGGAAGTGGAGTTACGCGATTCAAATGGAATACATCTTCGAATGGTGAAAGTGTTGAAAAGAATGCGATTATTGTTGCATCCGATTGGGGTTAGATTGACGCCATTGGAGAGTGCATTCAAGTCTCTCATGGTGTTCCAGATTTGCAGTTTAAGATTTTGGTGGATTTCTTGCTTCTTGAAATTAAATTAAATTATCCACAAACTTCAACCAGTCCAAACCTACGGTTCGTTTTAACGCCACATCATCTTAAATGGTCTCATGAAATTTTTTTGGATTTAATAATCCAAATTACGTCATTTGTTAATGTTTTTTTGATTAATTAATCAATTTACCATGATTTAATAAAAATACATTTTTTAATTAATCTTGAAACCTAAAGTAACATTTGGTACACAAAACGGGACTAATTAATTCTCTTCAATTTGGTAATTGGTAGGATTAGAACAAGAATTGTCTACCTTGTGATAAATAAGCTGGATAGGACAAGATGAAATTATTAAAACGACCATATTACCCCTAAATATTGTTTAATGTTATTGATTGTTGTTGTAGGCGATGGCTTATATCCAATTGTCAAGCATTCAACTCGTTTATCCGCTCAACATCTGTGATGGTTGAGCTGAACACTCAACAATCAGATGTAATCCCACCACCTTCAACAACCATCACAATTGTCTCAATAGCTTCACCGCCTTCTAACACGTTCCTTCAAATCTCATAACCCCACTTCCCTTATTCTATGATGAATGAGGAAATGCTCCCTTTGTCTTAAAATAAATATCCACTCGAAAAAATACACATTTTTTTTCCAAAAATGTATAAACTATTACACTAATCAATTAACAAAATGACAATTTTACCCTTAAAACTTTGACAGAATAATAATTTTCTCTGTACAATAATTAAGGGTAGAATTGTTTTATGCAGATGCTTATTTTCAAAACAAAGGGAGTAACTTCAGAGAATGTCAATAGTTATGGTTAGTGACAATAGACAAGGGTCTTTTGTAGCAACAACTCTAATAAGCTTAAAATATCTCTTGAAGAATGCAAGACATACATATGCATCAAACAAATGGCATCACATTCTAAGAACGAACAAGGTCGAAGATGAAAATGGTCGGGCAGCAAAAGCAACTATGCATCTTTCCCTTCTTCACCGGATGCACCTTGCGATGTCGCACCCGCCATCACCTCTCCGGGAGGCGGGTGGTCAAACTTGCATGTCGCGCCATACTTGCAAGCCCCTGTCTTCATGTAGTATGGGCAATTGATAGCCCCCTGTCGAGATATTAACGTCAGAAACATGATTCTATATATAAAAGTTTCCTAACCCAAAGAACTTTCTTTTCTATTAATACTCTGTCATGATCAAGGAAGTGATTGTGTTCTATTGGTTTTATACCATTCTCTCTAATTATGCATTATAAGGAATGGCAAGGGTAAAAACGGAACTTTAGTGTATATTTCGATACACTTTTAACAATGTCTTAGATTTGTGCAAAATTGGACTAGGGGGAGTACTTCACCACTGATAGTCTGTAATCACTTCAATGTCTACCTCATCAGTCCAATATATGGTAAATTACTTTTCTGGGGTTGGGTTCTGGTGAGAATGAAAGTTTCGATGAGAAGGGCAAGGAGGGATCTCCACCCGTGGATCAATCCTAATTGAAGAAAACGACTAGATCAACATTAATGAGATACACTAGATCAATTCCCTTCTAAAGCACAATTCATGGGGTGTTTTGGGATTAAAAGTGATCAAGGGTCCAAATCCCTTCTTACACTTCTCATCTTAACTCCTATTCTCACACGATCCTTCATCTAGTTTGCTGTTGATACCCTAAATTAGGCTAAGAATATAGTTGTATTTTATTGGTTAATATTTCATTTTCGCTCTTTTTTATGTGGATGATGTACCACAAGGAGAAAAATGGAAATTTGCTGTCCTCAAATGCTCCTGACAATTTCTTAGATAAAGAGGAAAGGGGTTACTTTCTTGTAAAAACATAATATAGAGACAAGTTATACCTCTCTCCTTGGAAGACCAGCAAGAGTAAGCTTGACATTGTGAAGTAGGACTTCAGCTGACAGTGCATGTGCTGTCCGGTCAACAGGGTGATGATATTTGCATCTTTCCCCAAACATGCACTCCCCGGTTTTCATATAATGCTATGACAGAAAATGACGAAAAAAGAAGCCAATTTTAGAAATGATTAGGGAAAAAAACAATAGCTGAAGAATGAAGAGCTCTGTTTATGTTGCATTGTCTGAAAACAAATGGAGATTTCCATTTGACATTGGATCAAGAACTGGAGGTTTACAACCAAACGTTTCATTTAAATATATGTGGCCGTTTACTAAACACCTACCGGGTAAGCACTTAACGATATCCCTTGAGCATGACAAGAACCAAAAATCTTACCCGGTAAGAGGCAAAACGAGGACCGAGAGTCTTACCCAGTGAGGGAAAAGATTCCTAATCGATAAGTGCTTACCGGGTTTAAGATGCTCACCAACAATTCATTTTGATGCCCAAGAATGTTAGATGACGAGGTGAGGGTAATTTCTTTTGCCAGTAAGCGCTTACCCATTAAGTGTTTGGTAAACGGCCCCTAGTTGAGTGCTTGGAGTTGAATCCATAAGGTGAATTCTGGATTATGAAAACTATCGTTTTAAGAAAAATTTAAGTTGTGAATGATTCAATATTCATGTCCAATTATTTGAATCAGATAAGCAGAAGCAATCCTACTCATACTAGGAAATCTATAATCAACTAGAAAAGGTAAATTATAACCGTAAAGAAATATATATCCTGCAGATTACTAATAGTGACCATCATTCCCATCCGTTGATCATAAAAACTAGTTTTTTGAAAAACATTAACTGGAAGGAATCTGGATGATTGAATATTGTACATAAAATTATTTGAGTAGAAAAAAGAAGCAATCCTACTGCCAATAGAAAATCCTGAATCATATAATTGCAATTGTGAAATTAATAAATTAAAAAAAATCTTGCAACTAGTAGTAAGAGACTCCTAATAGTGACCATTTTGGGCAAAGAAGGCAAAGGGAAATGGGTAGTTGAACACATGACCTCCATCGTAATAAGAGAAACAAAATCCTGCAACTAGTAGTAAGTTATAGTGACTACCATTTTCAGAAAGAAGGCAAAGGGAAAGGCGTATTCGAACTCCAAAGGTAGACATAGGGGAAGTGACCAACTACCACCAAGCTAAATTCGTGTTGGCAATACTGACTATCATTCTTGAGGTAATCACTACAATCCAGTTCAACACAAAGTATAATATGGATGCAAATCTATATTATGCTTAGCGGTTACGGGGACTTTAGCCTCCCAGGAGGTATGGGGTTCAATCCTCACCAAATGTGAGAAGGGTATTTAAGTTTATTTACTGAATTTGCCGTATATAAATATCATATACAGATATACTTCAAATAATATGAATGCAAATCCACTACAATTAAGCTCAGCTAAGGGCTAATCATGAGACAAACTTGCTGCTATGGTCTGTATCACATTGCTAAAGTTGAATTCTGTTATCTAACATGGGAGCCTCCACAAGTATTTTCAGGGGATACTGAAAGCATATGTGATTTGATTAGATGAAGCAAAGACTGATTGGAAGAAGTATAATGATCAAAATGATCCAAAGTGGTTCCTCGGCCCCTCCTAAGGTTTCCATCAGACAGACACTGTATTTCTCTAGGATTCTCCAATAGAGTGTGGCCAATTGTTGACTTCTCAACAAAGTGGAGTCACAGCATCCCCTTTTCCCATAAGCACGTATTGGGCAGTGATCATTAGTTAGTTACCGTTTCGTTAAATGATAAGATCTCATTCTTCTATGTAAAGACTCAAAAACTCTCCCCTCTTTTGCGCAAAACACACAGGCACGTAGACACGTGTGTGTGTGTGTGTGTATATATATACATTCATTTGAAATAGGGCATGAAACCATATAAATACGCACATCACATTCCATCTGACCAGGTCGCTGAGGGTAGATAGCTGGGGCCAAACCAAGCTGCAACACATAAAAGTACAACCCATCAATCAGCTAGCAAGAAAAACAAAAGAAAAAGGAGACAAAATAAAAAAAAAAGTGCCACCTAACATCTCCCTTCAACTCATCACACAAAACCAGGCTAAACATATCAAGCCACAATAGATTATGTGCTTGACGAAATTTAAGGGGTATAGCTTTGTGTATCAAGATTACTTGACGTACCTAGCTTTCTTCATCACAAATATGTATAATGTTTTTGAACATAAGATTATTTGACTTGTTTGGGCATAGAAAAAACTGGGAGCAGGAACAATGATCTCAGGAAGGATCCAAGAAAGGCAGAACACAGATGAATTTAAATAAATATAAACCTATGTCAGAATTTATGATCCAAAATAAGTGATACAAAAGCATACTACCAAGTACCAACTGCTTCGCGCAATGCGTAGCTCAATCAAGAAGCTTTTGCTCATGAGCGGCAGTACTATATATAAGTACATATAACCAGGATCAATAACAATGACCCACTTTTTAATAGCAATTTTATCCTTAATCAATTGCCTTGTTTTTATGCATGATTTTGTAAAATATTTTTGATGATAAAAAAGCATTTCTTATCTTGTAATAAGAGGGAGTACGATATGAAGAAAAAAAGGAGTACATAAGTAAGATGGGACAGGTAAGAAACTTGAAAGAATGTGCACAACAAGGTTCTATTCTCTACTTTACCGTTGTTTGAGCAATCCGTGGGTCAACAGTTTTCAGGACAGAGGGAGCTGGGCTGACAATACCAATGTTCATATGACCGGCAGGAGTGGCTAACATGGCGCCAGGCGGATTGAATGCTGCATGGAACAGTAGAAACCAATCAACAAGCAGTATGGGGAAAATGTTCATGATAAGAATCAGGGTACTGATCAATAAGAATGAAAGCATGATGATGAATTTCCTCAAGACCCAGATGTATACACTCACCGTATCTCTCTGGATGATTATAGCGACAAGTGGCACCATACTTGCAACTGTATCATGAAAAGTAAGGCACTTGAATCATTAAACTCATAGGGGATCAGTTTATCCTTATTGTTTCTCATTTTGAGAAGTCGTCGTGAAGAAACTTAATATAAACAAGTCAATGTACTAACCTGCCAGTTTTCAGATAGAATGGACAATCCACTTCTCCCTGTATTAACAATAAAAGATGGGAACAAAAACAAGTCTGACGTAAGCAATAAGTGATTGGAAGCCATGTATACATGAGCAGAGTAATATAACAAATTAAAGCATCCAGCCAACACTCATCGCTGCTCCCCTCCCCTCGAAAAAAACTCCTTGCCAGAACCAAATAAGGCATGATGAAGACGTAGCAGTAACAATAGTATTAGTAATAATTCCTTCTAAGCGGTAAGAGTTGAATTAGATTGAGATGTCCTAGACTCCTAGTTATGAAAGGATATAATATTGGATCAATTTGCTTTAGCTCCAACACAAAGAGCCTACATAGACAGGCACAACCGCTTGAGAGTTTCACTTATGTTGCAGGCATCCAACAACCTCGGCTCTTTGTTCACCAAGATGATGTAAAGAAGCAGGAATATAAAAAGATAATCCATAACAGCAATGCAAAGACAAAGTGAAAAGATGTCGCTTTGGATACTTGTGACATATTGTGGTCTAAAACCTTATTGATTTAAAACGGTTTTCATGTGCTTGAACATCTCTTCATAGCAAATATGCAACAAGCATTGCACACAATCTGCTTAAACCTGATTTAATCAAGAAGAAAACCGAAGATGGTTTTATTTGTGAACTATATAGTACCAAGGCCACTTGCTGTGCCGTGTATGAAAGCATCTTGCTTCCATGATTGGACATGCAACAGTTTCATATACCAACTTGAAGAGTATGTGTGTATGAAAGCAGCTTGCTTCCATGGTGGACATGCTACTGTTTATACACTAAAAATGCATAAGTTCCTTGTACAGCATAATTATCAAATGTGTTTTGATAGTTACATGGCATCCTTAAGAATGAATCTATAACATTGGTGATCCCGAAAGAGTATTAACTTCTAAGCAACCATTTCAAATAAGTATTTACATTGAACAAATTTGTCACAAAAGAGGAATCCTATGTGAAACAGAACTTGAAAAGAACAAGCCTTCAAATGGGAACATGCACTCAGGTCATGACATTGGCTGCCACGAATTAGATATTGCATCAAGACAAATGAGAAAGCAGTCCATAAGTTCACTCAGTTTGAATCATCAAATGTATGCAAGTCAGCAAGTGTATTACCGGTCTAATAGGGAGGCCTTTTGAGTTGTGCAACATCGCAGGGGCGAAGTGGAAGTTTCCATTTGTCCCGCCTGTAAGTGCATCCATCTGCCCACCATCACCATTTTCTACCCCAGCTGTAATCAAGATGTCCTTCGGGTGATGGAATTTGCAGGTTGAACCAAATTTGCATTGGCCAGTTTTCATATAGAACTGCTTACATATTGGCATGTTAAGATATTTTAAATGCAAGAAGAAATAGATAGCTGATACCAATGAAATTGCAGCACTCATACCACACATGGGGGTTCAGATGGCCTCTCTGGTAAGGCAGAGCCATCGCCATTTTCCAAAGCAGACTGCAGATGCATCAACAAGCCAGTCACCAATATGAGCACGAGTGCAAATAAAACCGACATATCACAGTGCAATTGAACCTACCAAAGCAAGTTTATCTTTTGGGTGGTTGAATCTGCACTTGGGACCAAACCTACACCGTTGAGTCTTCAAGAAATACTGCATCAAATAACAATTGACTTGCACTAAGATATCGGTTCGCATTTCACAACAAAGGAGCTGCATCGCTATTTACCAAAATAGTATTAACACCAAAGTAGATGCAAGAATACAACTAACAGTATAGTAATAATTGACTATTTTTAGCATGTTAAAACCTCGCCATGAAAATAGACTGCAGAAAATTGTATACCATGTGGGTGAACAAGAATATTAACAACCATAGGTGTGCCCCTAAGTCCCACCCCCACCCCACTGCAGAATTAAGCAAAGATCCTAAAAGTTCTCTTATTCTTTATATGTAAAGGGTGGACTGACTGGGTTGTCTGGATATCAACTTATGGTGCCTGTTATTTGCAAATCAAATCCTTAACAAGACCAGGTTAAAGTTACAATAATGTATATGAGCTTTATCATCAATGACCCTTAAACATGCATGAAGATGTGATGACTGCTAAATTGTTTATGCCTTGTTTAAGAAGTCCAAGACAAAAAAAATAAAAATAAAAGACCAAATAAGTGCACCTTCCAAGAAGAATGATAATAGCAATACAAGGATATGACAGAGGAAGGATGATAACATCAGTTGATTAATTTTCTATACATGCATTTCTCAAAAGATCAAATAGAAAAAATGATTCAAGTCAATGATTCCATATGCTTAGCAAAGTTAAGTTACAATGAGTACATACCCACTGAATGTAATATCAGTACTCAGAAGGGAGGCGTAAAACCACCATCAAACACTCATGTTGGATATCCTCGTATAGACTTTGGTGGCATTTTATCAAACAATATGTTGAATCTAAGTATGAACTCTCAGTACAACATGGTAATTGCTGGGATCTAGACGCATACCATAAAGGCTATGAAACAGGAAGAAGCGCATGTAAATTTCATGTTTCCTTGATCAGGCATACACGTTCATGATTTCTTAAAATGTAGTACCACAATCATAACCTAGCGTGGAATCATGTCAAAACTCAAATGATGTAAATTTTGAAAGTTAACTGCACATTCTCGGTTCCTTTTCTCTGTTCTCTTTAGTTCCCCTTCCAACCGGATGCCCCAGTCGTCTAATAGTTTCCTACTTTTTCAAGTCACTGTGCCGAACACTTGGCATTCCAATTTACGAATAGTGTTTGTGCCACATACAGTGCACTATGTGAGTGGGTAAATCTAAATACTTCTAAAATGCAGAAGCCAGCATACCGGACAATCTGGCGCTTCAGGTCTCTCCGGAAGGGATTCACTTGAATCGTTGACTGGAACCTGCCATTTAGAGCTAGAAATCAGACGAATGTGCAATTAAGAACAGCATGATTAAATACCGTAAAAAACAGACAATTGACAATACAATGCCAAATACAAGGGGCTAGCCGTTCAACCAACAGTGAAAGCTACATTATGAAAGATAAAATTGACATGTAAAATATTGCATTCAAGTAATAATGAAAAACTTGCAGCGTCATTTTTCCATGCATGGGATGCAACAGAACTACATAACCGGGCCCTATCTTTCGTTTTTTAATTCCCTTTCCAATTGAGCAGGAACATAAGTAGCAGTCTTTACTTTAAATAATAGGCTTCCCTCAGGCTGAACAATGCACTATAAACAAGATTAATGAGTTGTTTCAGTTTTACTCCACTCATTCAACTTTAAAATCTATCTTCTTTCTTAAATAGTTTTGGATTCTTTCTTATATACTTTTGGACCCCCTTCCCCACTTCCATTGACAATGCACCAACTGAACATTGTCTTCAATATAAGTCGATGGAGTTACTTGACCCTCAAATTATCAACATAATTACCCCCCTCAATCTCATCTTTGTTTTTAATCCCTGTTTCTTCTGCTTCAAAGCAGACAGATAGAAAGACCAACTTTGACTTTAATATTTATATTAAAATGTACTACAGGAGTTCATGGAAAAACTGTGAAGTTAAAAGTCCAAAGACAATGGTTAATTGGTTAGCTTAAACATTCCTAAGCATGTAGATTCTTTCACTACTTGCACAACTTTTCCTGTACGACAAGTGCATACTAAGTGCATGAGTATGACTAAAAATGAATATAACCGCACGAAATTATGTTGAAAAAAGAACAAAATATAGTAAAAGAAGGTTATCTTTATCCTGTTTATGATTTAAAAATAACAGGTCATCCTCCATTCACTTTCACCATCCCGTTTTTACAAAAAGACCGGTAATCCTTTTCTAAGACCTTTGATTTTTCTATTCAGATACGATTATTATATCAACCATATATATGATTTGAGAACAATCTTAGAATCTATGAAACAAGATAAGAAACAATTTTGTCAATCATATTCCAAGACTGCCAATTTCTCTTGATAACTTTCGTCTCTCACCCATAAACAGCTTCCCTCTGCCTAGAAAATGGTCTTCAGCTTTTCTGACCACCTAAAATGAGCACCACCCCCCAAAATAAAAGGATGGTTTATCATGTTTTGAAACTTAAATTTTAAATAGAACGCATCAAATGACCTGACCTTAAAATCTGCAGCAATTTCACTTTATGGCATTATGATATAAAAAAAGTAAAAGACACATGGCTTATATATTAGAAAGAACACCTACAATCCACATTTTGCGAAAAATATAAAACCTCTTTCAGGGAAGGAGATAAGTTTTTTCTTATTAGGCTATTACATCACATGTTCCTAATTCTTGGTGGAGCAAACATGTAAAGCAACTATAGTGATAGCATAAAAATGCACTGATAACGAACACTAAGATACCTATGTAAATATTCATGCAGATGAGACAATTATAATTTATGACATTACAGGCTAGTTTAGTATTGTATGGATGCTAAATGACATGATGAAGTGAATCAAAAAACCGCAGTACAAAATAACCCATTATTTTACGAGTAAAACCCATTATCACCACTTACAAAGCAAGCTTGCGAAACAGAAAGTCGACATAAAGGTCAAAAAGTTAGAATAAAGCTGATATACATCATATCAAAAAAAAACTCCCTGAGTATAAAATCCTTTCTATAAAGCTGATATACATCATATTGAAGAGCTTCTAGGTATAAAATCCTAAGTCATCAATACAAAGTCCTAACTTAAATCCTAAGTTTCCCAATAAAATTAGTTAGCTAGAATATTATCAGCAAACTATCAGTGTTGAAACAATAACGAATATATAAGATAGTACACTGTAAACATATTTAAGTATAAAAGCAGCATACATTATTTGACTAAGATATAAATATGTTGTAAATGCAAAATAATGTTTGTTTGTAATTATAGTCATACAGTATAACTACATATATACTAAAAACAGCAATAAAAGGTCACCTCTTTCCAATCAGGGATTCCACCCTGAGGGACCCAGATAGGATGGTCAAACCTGCAGCTATCTCCAAACTTACAAGTTCTTGTAAGCATATAATGGGCACAGTCCTTTTCTCCAGGCCTCTGCGGGTAAACAGGCAAACTGCTTGTACTCTCGAATCTAGGGCGCTTGACTAAAGGGTTGGTAGAATACCAAGCTTCACTTTGCCCAATCGTATTATGGGTAGCAAGAAGAGACTGATGATATATTGCTACGATAGATTGTACACACGTATAAAAAGGTCATTAAGTAAAAATATATGCTATTAATAAATTTAATCTTCATATACATAAAAACCAACATATGATATTATATATTATAGAAGAATCAGCATGCCAGGTCACTACAAAAATAATATGTACACTGTATTGATATAATAACGCACTAAATAAACCAAAGTAGTGGGGTAAGCTTAAACTGAGTTCACCACGACAATTAAGTAAATTGTATTGAAAAATAGAATTCACCCTTTCTGGTTTATTGATATTAAATGTGAATTGACTGTATGAAAAATGATTGTAACTTTGTTTCATTCCTATTTTAGTGGTTAAAATTCAGAAAATCCACATAAAAAGCATCAAATTTTCAAAAATCAGCCTTTTTGGTCCAAAGTTGACGTGGAAACCTACTGACTCTACATGTATATGTTGGAATGTAGGCTTCGGCCTACTAAGTTAGACAAAAGGGAGGAGGTATAAAGTAAGGAGCCGGCCCTAGCCCAAAAGGAGTCGGCCCTAGCCCAAAAGGAGCCGGCCCTAGTCTCTACCCTAGTTTCCTTGATTAGGAGATAACCCTAATTATGTTTGTCTATATATATTAATCTCATTGTACTTGTAAACATTGTAG